AATGCTTAATTAATGTTTATAGGTAATGTTATATTAATTAAATTCTTATCATTTAATTAAATATTGTGCTAATGTTTATGTAGTAAACTAATTACTATGTTTAAAACATAATGTCATAACTCTTATCAATTAAGTAATCATTTAATTATGTAATGTTATATTAATTATATGATCATACTATAAAGTATAATGTAATGTTATAATGAATTAAGTAATCATACTATAAATCTAAATTTATATTATAATAAATTAATTTCAAATCATTTGATTAATATAATATGTTTATAATGGAATGTTATAATTGATTAAGTAATTATATTATAAATATATGTAATGTTTAATTAATTAAATTTTTAAATCGTTAATTAAGTAATGTAATAATATAGTAAATTACTAATGTTTATAATGTAATGTTATAAATTCATAACTAATTAAGTAATATTAATCATTTACTATGTAATGCTATAATTAAGTAAGTGATCATAATATATGTAATATAATAATATTATAATTAATTGAGTAATTTTTAACTATAATGTAATGTTTAATTAATGTTTATAATGAAATGTTTTAAGGTAATGTTATAATTAATTAAATTTCTATCATTTAATTAGTATTGTGCTAATGTTATGTAGTATTAGTAATTACTAATGTTTAAAACATAATATCATAATTCATAATCAATTAAGTAATCATTTAATTGTGTAATGTTATATTAATTATATGATCATACTATAATAGTATAATGTATGTTATAATGAATTAAGTAATCATACTATAAATCTATAATTTATATTATAATTAATTAAATTTCAAATCATTTGATTAATATGCTAATGTTTATAATGAAATGTTATAATTGATTAGTAATCATATTATAAATATTAAAGTAATATAATATTAATTAATTTGTAATCGTTTAATTAAGTAATGTAATAATATAGTAAATCAGTAAATTACTAATATTTATAATGTATGTTATAAATTCATAACTAATTATGTAATTATGTAATCATTTAACTATAATGTTATAATTAATTAAGTGATCATAATATAATGTATATATAATATTTAATTTATTGAGTAATTATTTACTATATTGTAATGTTTAATTAATGTTATAATAAAATGTTTATAAGGTAATGTTATGATTAATTAAATTTCTTATCATTTAATTAATGTATTAGCTAATGTTTATGTATTAAATTAGTAATTACTAATATTTATAATATAATGACAAATCATTAAGTAATTATTTAATTAGTAATGTTATAATTAATTATATAATCATACTATTTAATGTTATGTGAATTAACTATTAAGTAATCATACTATCAATTTTTAATGTAATATTATAATTAATTAAATTTTTAATCATTTAATTAAGTTTGTACTAATGTTTATAATAAAATGTTATAATTGATTAAGTAATTATACTATAAATCTATAACGTAATGCTATAATTAATTAAATTTCTAATTATAAGTCAATTAATTAACTATTTAATTATGTTATAACTTATAAGTCAATTAATTAAGTAGTAATCAATTAATGTAATGCTATAATTAATTATACTATAAATCAATTAAGTAATGTTATAAAATTATAATTAATTAAGTAATCATTTAACTATAATGTAATGTTATAATTGATTAAGTATGATATTTAACTAGTAATTAAATTTATTAATGTTTATCAATTTATCATATATAATTAATTAATTACTAATTTATTATAGATATACTTAGAACTTGATAATTGAAGTAAATAACTAAATATATTATTACTCAATCAAATATACTATTTTATTCAAAAATAATTCTTTTAATAACATTAAAAATGTAAAACACTTTTAATTGGATCATAATTCCAATTATTCACTTAATTGATCAAAACTTTAATATTAATGTATTATAATATATTAAAGCTTTTAATATGGTGTAATTTATATGTAATAAGTATAATTGTATTCGTATATTTATTTAATTAGGTTATTCTAAAAATTTAACTTTTTCTATTTTAAATTTTTTTATATGTAAAATAATAGAAACTCCCCCATTATTTACATTTCACAAATATTTCATTATAGTCCAGGTTCCAAAATAGGTTCTAAACAGGTTCTAAAAACAGGTTCCAAAACAGGTTCCAAACAGGTTCCAAAACAGGTTCCAAAGCAGGTTCCAAATAGGTTCCAAAACAGGTTCCAAACAGGTTCCAAAACAAGTTCCAAACAAGTTCCAAAACAGGTTTCAAACTGGGTACCCCCTACAGGTTCCAAACAGGGTACCCTTTTTACAGGTTCCGGTTCCGGTTCCTCCACATGCAAGAACCGGAACCGGAACCGGAACCGCACAGTAGCGGTTCCAAAAAATTGGAACCGGAACCTACCCGCACAGAATAGGTTATGGGTAGGTTTCGTTTCCGGTTCTGGTTCTTACCCCCGGTTCTGGTTCTACCCGCTACCCGTGCTCACCCCTAAATATTCATCTCTTAGTTCCATAATCTAATAAAACAGCTAAATCCTTTAGACCCTTTGAAGTTTGAAGTTTGAAGTTAGTTACTAAGGTTTGGCGAAACGAAACCTTCCACCATTAGTCAGGTTCTATTAGTGCTTATTGTTAATATTTGATTGAAATGATAAAAATGTTCTTAAATAATTTATTTTTTAATTAGTTTATTATAAATACAAATTTGATAAATTTTTACTCGATTATTTATTAGTTTAAATATAAAGATATATTTTTTAATAATGATTTTCTATGTTAATTAATACAAATGAAAAAAATTATATTATGAAAAAAATTGTAAATTTAGTATATTATTGAATAATAGTGATAGAATATTGATGGCATTATAAATAAATATTAAGGTATTTAACTTTAAATAATTTCATAACATTACTCATAACTTTTTAGTTACGACTAACTATTTTTTCGTTTTTGACTTTTGGCTAATTAAAAAATAAAAAAAATTAAGTCAAATATTTAAGAGTATTTTTGTATTTTTAGTTAAATATTATCATAAAACATAACAGAACCTAATGAAGGGTGAGAAAGTGTCATTTTGAAACTTAAAGGGTGCGAAAGTGTCATTTTAAAACTTAAAAGGTGCGAAAGTACCATTTTGCCAAACCTTGGGTGGGAACATGTCGTTCTCCCATTTAATAAAACAGCTAAATCCTTTAGACCCTTTGAAGTTTGAAGTTAGTTTCAGTGTTGGTGGGCCCGTTTGAGACTGGTCCTTTTGAGACTGATCCCATTTGGGATCAGTCACTCATGTGCCTGGGACCGGTTCCAGGCCCATGAGCAATTTTAGGACCTGGACTAGTCCCTAGACTGGTCTTATGTGCTTGCAAAAAAAAAATTTCCCCTTATCTTTTTTTTATATTTTGGAGTAAAATGAAATTGGGGTTTTAGTAATTTTTAGGGATAGATTAATAAGTTTCTAACAGTTTAATTAATTTTAAAAAAATAATAAATTAATTAATAGTTAATTTTAACATGAATAAAATATTCATATATTCAAAAGCTTCATAAATAAATAGTTAAATAAATTTCAATTATTGATATATCTATCCAAAACAGAAGTTAACAAAATCTAAAAGGTACTGCAAAATTAATCAAAGACTTTAATTGAAGATACACGGCCGTTGCTTTGCTTGTCAACTGTTGTTCAACAAAATTAATTTGATACTTTGGAGTCTGGAGATGAAGAAAATTAAAAGATATTGATTAAGACTTGTCTATCTTGTATCCATTGTTTTTTTTATTTCTTTTACTGTAAGAAATTTTTAAGTTATTGAGTGATTTTGGGAGAAGAAGAAGATGATTAATAATAAAATGTAATAGTTTAACTTTAGTCAAGTAAATATTTAGATTTGCCTTTTAGTCTTAGTAAATGAGTGATGTAGTGGAACTTGGATAAGTAGTACGTATGCTCTACCGTAATTGTTTGAATTTATAAAATAGTTTAAATCCGTGACCAATAATCCCGAATATACGAGTGATTTCTTGAATCTAAAAGTTAAAAACTCTAAGAAATTATTGAATCCACGATAATGAATTTTTCAAACACCAACTACTATAATTTTTTATTAATAGGAATATCTTTTTGTTTATAACATAACAATTAATTCTATTTGTTCTATATATATATATATATATATTCTCAACATTACTATATATATATATAAATAAATAAAAACAATATGTACAATATAAGGTATGTGATTTGCCTTAAAAGGTAATATGTACATCACAAATTATTTTATTATTTAATTTTGTAAAAAAAATTTTAACCTCTATAATTTATGTTTATTTAAAAAATTATAGAGAGTTTTATATAATTATACAAAAGACTAAAAAAAAAAAATTAAAAGGGTTTGAGCCAGGTCCAGGCCTTGGAGGAGGACCCAATGGAGGGACCGGACTCTTCTTCTTAGGCCTGATCTAATTTTGGGACCAAACATGTAGGAGTGAACCTTTAAGACCAAGTTTTCAGGTTAGATTTTTAGACTCCATCCGAAATGTCCAACTCTTAGTGCTAGTACATACCGGTACAACGACCAACATCCTATTCTTATCCATGAAGCTAATCTATCACAAGTTTTTTCAGTTTCTTTAAACATAAAGCTTCGGCAGATGAAATAAATGGAGCAGCATGCTTGGTTGGGTTTATTTAATAGTCCAAAAAGCTCATTTAAAGTTGTAAATGCTGTTGAAATTTTTTGATCTGTTCAGTTACATATCAAAAATACTTAGATTATAGATTATATATTAATTATTAATTATATTTATCTCTTCTTTCAAAAAATATAATATTTTTAATATTTATCTCTTCTCACTCTTTTGCCCGTTTCTTCATCCTATTCCTATCTCTTCTTCTTCATTATTTTTTCTCCATATTTCGTCGTGCCATTCACTTCCTTTCTTTCCTTTTCTTTTCTCCTCTTCCCATTTTTTTTTCTTCCCCTCATTCTTTCCTCTCTCATTTCCTCTTTTTCATTTTTTTATTAGTTTATCATGGCAGTGTCCACATCTATTTAACCAACCCCTCAAGTTCGCCGGAAAAGGGCAACGGCCACTGTCCTTGTCTGCTTTTTCCCATCTTTACGGCATGATTCCATTAATTGAGCTCGAACTATATTAACCGAACTCGAAATCGAGTTCGAGTACCCATTTAAGATCACGAATTCGAGTTCAATCTTCGTTCCCCAGGCTTGATCGAGCTCCAACCGAACTCTAAACTGTAACATCCGAATCAGTAATCAGATACTAGGTACAACAAACATCATATTATTTTATTTTATTTATTTTAATCAATACTATTACATCAATAACCTTTTTATATAAATTTTCTTTTTAGAAATTTATGTAATAAAAGATGAATGAATGATGTTAAATTTAAAATAAATTTTTAATTAATATTTTTGTCACTAGATTTTGGAGAGAATGTTTATGTTGTGACTCTAATTAATTAATTTTAATTAGCCTACAAATACTCTCAGACATTGCCCTTTCTAAACTTGAAATTACTTGGTTGAAGCAGAAAAATGGCCACCTCAAAACTTCATGTAGCAATGTTTCCCTGGCTTGCCTTTGGCCATTTCATTCCTTACCTTCACCTCTCAAACAAGCTTGCGGAGAGAGGTGTTAAGGTCTCCTTCTTATTGCCTAAAGGAGCTCTCACAAAGCTACAACAACTCAACCACCACCCTAAGCTTATTCACTTCTTTCCTCTTGTGATTCCCCATGTTGATGGTCTCCCTCCAGGTGCTGAAACTGCTTCCGATGTACCATTCTCTCTTCATCAACTACTGGCTTCTGCTTTGGACAAAACTCGGGATCAAGTTGAGACCATTCTGACCAGTCTGAAGCCAGATATTGTCTTCTTCGATTTTGGACGATGGATTCCTGAAATCACCCGTCAAGTAGGCACCAAGTCATTCTACTATTCGGTGATCAACGCCTGCACGCTTTCGTTCTTCAGGGTTCCAGCTCGAAGAATTACTGTGGAGACTACCATGGAAGAGCTAATCCAACCACCGCCTGGCTACCCATCTACTACTGTGAAGATAAAACACAATGAGACTCCTCATATTGCAGGGCTAAACGATCCCCGTCTAGGGGCTTTCCTTCACGAGCGGTTAACTACCGGCTTGAGAGAGTGTGATGCAATTGCTTTGAGATCATGTCAAGAAATTGAGGGAGCTTATTCTGACTATCTTGCACAACAGTATTCAAAGCCTGTGCTGTTAACGGGGCCAGTATTGCCTGAAACACCAGCTACACAGCTTGAAGAGAAATGGGATAAGTGGCTAAACAAGTTTGAGCCAGGCTCAGTGGTGTATTGTGCATTTGGAAGCCAAATTACTCTACAAAAAGAACAATTTCAAGAGTTGATGTTGGGGTTTGAGTTAAGTGGGTGTCCATTCTTGGTAGCTCAAACGCCGCCTCATGGATGTTCAACCATCGAAGAAGCATTACCTGAAGGGTTTAAAGAGAGAATTGGTGAGAGAGGTTGGGTGCATGGAGGATGGGTACCGCAGACGTTGATACTAAAACACCCTTCTATTGGGTGTTTTGTGAGTCACTGTGGATTTGGTTCCATGTGGGAATCTTTGGTTAGTGATTGCCAAATAGTACTGATTCCATTTCTTCCTGACCAAGTTATGGGTACAAGATTAATGGTAGAAGAACTGAAGGTAGCAATAGAAGTGGAGAGAGGGGAAGACGGGATGATTGGCAAGAAAGCTTTGAGCAAAGCAATCCAGTTAGTAATGGACAACGAGAGTGAATTGGGTAACTCAGTGAAGAACAATCATATTAAGTTGAAAAATATATTTTCTAGCAAGGATTGGCAAGATAAGAAGATTGATTCTTTCGTTCAGGATGTGCAATTTATTTTGGAATCTCCAGGGGCTTAAATGTATAAGCAAGTTCACAAATATTTGTTTTATTGTTTTAATTTTTAGGCCGAATGACTTGTGCATACCCAAGATTTATCGTAATGACAAGTTGATACCCAAAAGGTTTTGAAACGACAAATAGGTACCTTCCGTCATGCTCTGTTAGTGATTTTTGTTTATTAATAGTGAAAAGACTAAAATGCCCTTCAAAGTTTCAATTTTAGTTTTTTATAAATTTAAAATATCTAAAAAACCCCCTAGGTTTGCTAATTTAATAAACACCCCCATATATAAAAAGTTTGTTAAATGACAAAAACACCCCCACCACCCCTGTGCCAGATTCTGGCCACCATCGCCGGAAACTGGCCGGAAAACTGCATTACGACACAGATCCGTCGGATCTGTGTCGTAACGTGCCGATCTGTCCTTTTCCGGCCAGATCCGTGGCTGATCTGGCCGGAAAAAGCCAGATCTAGGGCTAGATCTGGCCGTCGATGCCGCAAAACTCCATATGCGGCGTCGAAGGCCAGATCTGGCAATAGATCTGGTCTTTTCCGGCCAGATCTGCCACGGATCTGGCCGGAAAAGGCCAGATCGACGCGTTACGACACAGATCCGACGGGTCTGTGTCGTAACGCAACTTTCCGGTCAGATTCCGGCGGTGGTGGCCGGAATCTGGCACTGCGGGTGGCGGGGGTGTTTTTGTTATTTTATAAAAATTTTATATATTGGGGTATTTAGTTAAATTTGTAAACTTATGGGGTTTTTTAGAAATTTTTAAATTTATAAAAAACTAAAATTCAAACTTTTAAGGGTATTTTAGTCTTTTTACTATTAATAAACAATAATAAACAGAAATCACTAACAGAACATGACGGAAAGTACCTATTTGTCATTTTAAAACCTTTTGGGTATTAACTTGTCATTACGATAAACCTTAAGTACGTATAAATCGTTCTCCCTAATTTTTATTGTATTGTGTTTTGTGTTACGATGTTTCGTGTGTTTAATTACGTGTTCAAACAGATTTTTCAATTACATTGACATCAAATGAAAATTCCGAAGTTATATCATCGATCACTAATTTCATTTACTGTCACAAGTTTCTTTGTTTCTTAAGTAAACAAAAAGCTATAGCCAATCCATGGAGGATTGGAGTAGTTGAGCCAAATATTAAATTAGAATAAAATTTATAGTGAATGTGACCGTAGTCATGGAAGATTGGATTTGATTTGATTTGATTTAAATTCATAATTAAATTAATATTTGGTTTGATTTGATTAAGATTTGATCGGATTTTAAATTAGATATAATATGTTTTTAGATAAAGGCAAGGAGGAGAGAGGAGATGGCTTCTAGAGAACACATCAAAATCATGGATTAAAAAAAAAAAAAAAAAAATTGAGAAGAGAATATCCGGTTCTTGATTGAGTCGAAGGAGGACAACAGCAATAATACGAGATTTTCAGCTTTTACCCTAAAATTCTTAAAACAACAAAGCCCTTTTATATGTATAAAAAGGATAATTCTATTTTAATAAACATTTTTCATTAACTTTATCGCACAGACATAATATAACAGTTTATAATTTATTAATTTATAATAAAACTCGTTTGATTAATTATAAACTGATTAATTAAAAACTATTACGTTGTGTTTTTTTTAAAAGTTAGTAAAAACAGCTTGTCAACCTATCTTTATTATTCTTGAAATTCCTTAAAAAATATTAGTTCATATCAACGAGAGAGAGAGAGAGAGAGAGAGAGAGAGAGTCTCTTACATAATATAATGAACTTTTTCTATGCTTACAATGTGCGATTCTCAAACTCCACTCTAACCACATCCACCTTGGAAACTCTTAAGGCCTCGAATTTGAATTTTGGTTCTCGCCAATCTACTACTTTAATGGACCTATACAAAATCTAAAGTGGGAATTTAACCTAAATTAATATTGGGCTCTTTCTAGCTAACTCCCGCTATGAGTTATTATTGACTTTCATATATTTTGTAAAAACCCTATTGGGCTCTTTCTAGCAAACTCCTGCTATGAGTTATTATTGACTTTCATATATTTTGTAAAAACCCTTTGATATTCGGAGACTAAATTGTTCATATATATATATATATATATATATATATATAAGGATAATAAAATATNGGCGATACTGTCGGCCGGGCTAATTGGATTACAGGCGAAGGTACGTTGAAGTTACGATTAGTCAATGAAGACAACTGCTTTGAATTTTACAGTCAGCCAACAATTCACCTACGCTTGCTGTTAAGCTATTGTTTGTTTCTGGCTGGCAGGGCGTAGCCCTTACGAAAGTTCCAAAAATAAAGTTTCTTATTATTATTGGTGGGGCAAAGTTTAAATCACAATCAGTGGCTGAGATTGCATATGCTTCTCCGATTCAATGCCCCAACCTCCATTTTTTAGGTATCACATTCTTCTCCATTTTCCTTTTTTTAATTCTGTTCGAATCCATATACCTTATCACGACTCTAATTCAGCGTTTCCAGAGTTTAGTAGTTAAAAGTTATAACTTGTCCATGTGAACGAGATTGAAGTCACTTTGACACAATCTCGTGAAAATTGCATTAAATTTATAAATTATACACGCTACTGTTCTTTAAACTATTATGGCGGTTTTTTTTTTTTTTCATATTCTAATACATCAATATTTTTTAAAGAGTGGTCTTAAATACAAATATTACTATTAAAAAATATATATATATTTTTATCTTTTATTAAAAAATCAAATAATATTAGGCCAAACGACTTACGCATATCCAAGGTTTGTCGAAATGACAAGTTGGTATCCAAAAGATTTTGAAACGACAAACATGTACCCCGTTGGATCTATGTCGTAACGCGTCGATTTGGTCTTTTCCGGCTAGATCCGCCACAACGCAATTTCCCAGCCAATTTCCGGCGGTGGTGGCCGGAATCTGGCACTGCGGGTGGTAAGGGTGTTTTTGTCATTTAACAAACTTTTTATATATGGAGATGTTTAGTTAAATTAGCAAACTTAGGGGGTTTTTTAGGTTTTTTATAAATTTATAAAAAACTAAAATATCAAACTTTCAAGGGCATTTTAGTCTTTTCACTATGAACAAACAGAAATCACTAACAGCACATGACGGAAGGTACTTGTTTGTCGTTTCAAAATTTTTTGGGTATCAACTTGTCGTTACGGCAAACTTTAGGAATGCGTAAGTCGTTTGGCCATAATATTATCAAAATTATTGTCAATTCTATAGCTTCCTGACCTGAATATGCTTTGTGATTATGGGATGTGAGCATGGAATGATTCGTAACATTAATTGAAATACGGTGAATGCAAAGTGGTCGGAGATCAACTTCTTGATAATCTTTTTATATATTCGTTTCATTTCAACGCAATGTATTGCGCCAAGTAGCGTTGAATTTGAGTATTGTTGATGACTCACAGAAATTGTGTTGTTGCAGGAGAGCAAGACTTTTTGAAGCCTTATGGATTGCAACTCTTGGAATCCTGTGTGGACCCTGTTATAATTAATCATCCCAAGGGTCACACAATACCCAGACTTGGTAATTTACTGAATCCTCCTTCCCTCCCTCACTTATCCATTCATGATTTATTAATAGAAACTTTATTTTATCTTATTGCAGATGAAAAGGGTTTGCAGACGATGTTAAGCTTCATCGAGAGGATTCAAAAGATGTTGCCCGATAAAGAAGAAAAGTAACTACATATTCTTAGATGAGGTTGCTTGACTAGCTCAATAAAAGAATATGATTTGATCTCAAAGGATACCCATATTATTTCATGAGTTATTGTCCTTTACATAAGAATTTTACTTAAAAAAGAGGTGTATAACGTTAAATCATCCTATTTATGATGATCAGAATGATTTTTGTATTATGTATTCCATTTCATACGCTGCAATATTCAACGAAGAAGGTAAAAATTCAAAGTACTAACTATACTTTATTATGTCGAATCCGTTACAGTTCATAGATATGAAAATTAATTAACAGATGTTTGTTTAATATAAATGACAATATTTTATATTGTTGAATACAGTCATGGATGACATTATCAGTGATATTTGAGTAAACGACTTTCCCACCCAAGGTTTGGTCTAATGACACTTGCCCACCCAAAAAGTTTCAAAATACAGCTTTACTACCCACCACATAGTTAACTTATGTCAGTAAATTTCGTTGTGAAGAAGGACAGGATGGTTAAAAGTTTGTTATAAGTAAGGGCAGAATGGTCAATTAACATTTCAATATTTCTGAAAATTGAAATAGGATACAAATAAAAATCGACCATATTTCCGTCTCCAATCATCGGTCGAACCGACCACTACATCTTCGCACAAACTCACTATTTCACAACTCGATTCCAGCCGTTTGAGACACCAGAAATCACCACTGTCACCACCCTACAAATCCCTTTCCCTACCTCTTCAAAACCCTACCCTTTAATGGCCTTCCCCACTTGCCGTGTTGCCATTTTGACTTGTACCAACATCGCGAGACAATCACGTTTTGCGACCCCAATCCCCTACAGAACGTTTGTATTTTTTTGGTGTTGAATTGTGGTTTGTTGTATGAAGTGTTTGTGTTGCTATTGTGTTGATTTTTCTGGTCGCCGGTTGTTCCCCCATCTCTCCAACCTTGCTGCTCCATCCAAGCCCACCACATGTTCGACCTATTACCCTAACTAAAAGCCCCAGTCATTAGCAAGGCAACGTGCACACAAAGCAACTATGCACAAGACAACACGAGCGAGCGCCCAGCACCACTGAAACTGATAGCGTTGGCCTGCCCCTTTGCCACCACCAGATTCCCCGACCTCCATACTCCAAAACCCCCTTGACTATTGCCTGATTGCTCCCACCATTCATCAACACCATTTGGATAAGTGTTTTGCCATTTCTAGCCGAATTTCGATCTATTTCGGTAGCAAAAATCCAAGACATCACCACCACCAAATTCCCCGACCTTCATACTCCAAAACCCCCTTGACCATTGCTTGATTGCTCCACCATTTTCCAATGCCGTTTGGATTAAAGTTTCGCTTCTTCCAGGCGAATTTCGGCCGAATTCGATGGCAAAAATCCAAGCCGTCACCACCCCTTGCTTCACCGACCCCTACTCTACAAAATCCCCACCACGTCGTTGTCTGTTCATCATTCAAACGACATTGCCGCCTACCGTCCGTTTTGGTCTAGATAATAATAATAATAAAAATTAAGTCAAATAGTAAAAGATATTTTCGTCTTTGTAATGCATATCACTGTATATAATAGAAATTATTAATGAAACATAACGTTTATGTAGTAAAATTATATTTTGAAACTTTTTGCGTGGGAAAGTGTCATTAGGCCAAACCTTGGGTGGGAAAAACTCGTTTACTCTTGATATTTTTACGTATTGGCAAACTGTTTTGTTGATGCAAGAATTACACCAACTAGAGTGATCTGATCAACCTAGTCGGGATCGAAACTGATGTATGCGTGATTATGGGTAACTAGCAGTGAATAAATAATCATAACAGTAAAGTAAATGGCAAAGAGATTTTTGAAGTGATTCGGCGAGTTGAACTCTTGAGCCTACGTCTACTGTTATTGTATTTGCTGCGAGAGCTTACAGTGACAATCCTAGAAATGTTTTCTAACCCCTTTTTGATCATTGAAAAGGGTTTATATATAGATTTTGTACAAAGGAAAGAGCGAAAATAAATGGATTACAATTAAATTTGAAATGCAACTCTGATATTTTCGCGATTGAGCGCTGAGATTGCGCTAGGATTGTTGTCAATCTGATCCTTTTTGAGATATCCGGGATTTGGAGTTATCTGTGAGTTGGTTGAACAACCGTAAGGATTGGTCGCGACTAACTTGCGCTAGGTCGAGCTATAACTCGACGAACTTATGCTGGGTCGAATAGTCAATTGAGTCGGACTGATTTTGGATCGAGCTATTACCTCTCAACTCTCCGAGCTTCATGGAAAAATCACACACAACATCTGCCCCCTAGTATTTGATGCTTGTTTCGAGCTTTGAAGACTATTGCTCGATTTGATATCAAGTTCAGCATTATTGGTAGGACATTGGATGCAAATGCAGTCTAGCTTTGAGAGTCGGACTCATGCCCATTCGACTTACTCTATACTTGGACTTTTCTCTTCTACGACACTTTTGACAAACTTGGAGTTTGAAAAGAAAGGATAGTTGTGTAAATTCCACGTGGTCATGTCCCATTAAATGCGGCAGCCTTTGGCAGTTACTTTTCGTCGCGCATGAGCAATTATAGCTGTCCAGGCGTGGAGTTGAGGTGACGTGCGGCGACGATTATGATTATGATTATGGTAGTATAACAGTTCATCGCCCCTCATGGATGGTTGACACATGGCCATGTCCAAGGGCCAAGATTGCTCGATGAATGGAGGGTCGAGATTCACTATAGATCGACGGCTATGATCGAGCCCCGCCTTTTCGTCTCTCATGCAAACCATTATAAAAGTGGTCAAACTCGTCAGAAAGCTTACCCATCTTTCTAAAACTCTCAGATGTTCTTGCTCATTTCGTCTCTATTTCTTTATCTTCACGGTGCTTTTTTCGACGAGTTCATCCTATTCTCTTGTTCTAGTAAAGTTTCTTTTCCCTTCCTCTAGTTGTTTTCTTGATTTTCACAGCTGAGGATGGCCATTGTCGTGGCTACATTGATTCTTTTAGGGCTTTACTAGGGTTTTTAAGTGTGTCTCCGACAGTCTTGGGTTTAAGGAGGGTTTATCATGGCAGTCGTCGGAATCCTTAGTAAGTCACGTGCATCTATTGTTTGGCATAAGCTATCTCGGGTGTTTGAACTGAAAGCAAAGTGTGGATAGGTCACCAAGTTTTTCAAGCTCTGATGCATGTTTGCTTCTATTTCAGGTACCTAGAGGCGAGCTATAGTCATGTCTTTATCTAGTAGCAACACGATTGATCGTATGTTCGATTCCCCTGCGGGCTCGGCAGTCCTTGGGGGCATAATCCATGAGGTTTCCAAGGAGGTTGTCGCACGGAGCTCGGATCCTAATGCAGCGGGTTTGTCCAATCACGCTTCTATGGAGTTGGCTCAGTCAAGGCGGTCTTCGGTTCATAGGCTGTAGAAGGAACCATAATCCTCGATTAGTGTCGAGGATCTTAGGTGCATAAGTCCTTAACTCAATTTGAGGTTCTAGGGGACTTTTCTTGGAAGAATCCCCCAATAGGATGGGTGGCAATCTCTGAGACCCTTTCGAGATATGGGGTGTATATTCCTCCTCACCATTTCATCGACAGCGTTTTGAGATGATTCGACATTGTCTTTCTCCAACTGTCTGTGAACTTATACGTCATAATATAGATTTGTACATAACGTACATGATTGTCGAGCTGGGTGAGCCAACTATTGAGGAGCTTGTCCATTTGTATAGATTAATGAAGGGTCAAGACCAGACGTACTACCTTTCCAAGGCGAGGAAGGGTCAATGACCTGGTCGATGTTTCAAAAAAGGTCCTGCATTGGGACTTTCAGTTTTTCCTTTATAAGGCTGGGGAGACCGACATTTTTTATTTGAAAGCTAGTAAGAATTTAACCCCTAGTATGTGCGAAGATCTTTTTCAAGCTTGATGGTTAGACTAACTGAACTTCTTTGCTTTGCAGTTAATGTCAAGCAGAATTTTCTCCTTGCTGCGAGCTTACAGAGGCTTCCACGCTTCAGTGACATTTCCAACAGGCAGCGTAACGTTAACGAGATCATCTCACTTCCTCACTTGAGAGCACACGACTTCTGTAAGGATAATGCTAAATTCCTTACCATTCGCGAGAAAGGTTAGTGTTCTCTTGCTCGTGCTTCTTCCTTTTGTGTAGGCAGGTTACTTATTACTTGCTTCTATTAATGCAGAAATATAGGCCGATGAACCAAAAGGCCTTAAGAAAAAAGTGACAACTTCTGTGGCTACCAAGAAACCTTTGGCTACTTTGGTGACGAAGCAGCCCACTGATGTCGCTGGCACGAAGCAAAACAGGGGTGAACTTAGGGAAGACCCAAGTGCGAAGAAGCCTGCAACTGCCCCGAAGGTAATTGGCAGGAAAGGTGTCCTCGAGCTCTAAAAAAAGCTGGTTCCAAGCCAATTGGAGGCTCAAGGAAACAAAAAGCACCCGAGCAATACGATGGCTCGGGTAAGAAAAAATCAACCAAGCTTCAAGGGGGCTCGAGAAAGCAGAAGATGATTGAGTAACAGGTTGGCTCGGGTAAAGAGGTCGCCAAACAGGTTGGCAACTCAAATAAATTCAAGTAAAAAAAGAAGTCTATTCCCACAGGCAAAGTTGCCGCTACCATGGGAAGTCAATCCAGCTCGTCTCGACAAGGAGGCAAAAATGTGGATGAGGTGGCTCGAGCTACAGTCGATGCATTAATCGATCAATTCCTCGATCATATCAACATTGGGGCCGCAGTGGTCAAGGATACCGTCACCCCGTGAACCTTCGCCGGTGTTAGGGATTCGTCTCCCACCCAGATGTTGGCTTGGGTGTGCAATTATATGACAAAGGTACTAGTAGTTCACCCCCTTCTCCCTTTTATATATGCTATCACTATTTCTTGTTGACTTTCACTCCCCCCCCCCCCTTCCCCCTTTTAGGTTGTTGTGGTGGGCAAGCTTCTCTTCGATGAGTGCTATCCCATGTTGAGGGCACTCATCAGGGATGGCAGTTAATGGAGAGGGTGAAAGAGGATGCTTGGCTAGGGCCCAGGTTGCGGAGAAAGAGAAAAAAGTGAAGCAGACCGAGCTTGAGTGGCTTAAGGAAGAGATGTCGACCTTTGAGGTCAAGAAAAAGGAGTTCCTTGACAAAATTAAGGCGAGCGAGGCTACGCAGGCAAAAGCGAAAGCCAAAATGGTCGAGGTTGAGAATGGTTTGGCACAATAGCGAGGTGCCAATAATAAGTTGAACTTTG